CCAAAAAGAAAGAAAGAAAAAAGAAATATATATATTAAACATAGCAGAATACCAGTCCTGCATATACTTTAAAAATATTATATATATAACTGAAAAAGAAAAGAAGAAGAAGAAGAAAAAAAAAAACTACATGTAGTGGAAGACAAATATTCCTAAGAACAGTTACATGGCGGTCATCAAAAGCTAGTAGTTCTCTACTTACTGAAAAAATTAAAGGTTTCTTTGTAAAACATAACTGCTGACTGATGGTTAACCCATTGCATCTGGATATTTCAATACCATCATGTGGCCCAAAATATGACCATCAGGCTTACTCTGATGGGGTGTGTGGCTTGTGGGCTGGGCGCACACAAACACTCGTGTGTGGTAACAAGACTCCGCGCTTCCCTTTTGCAATATGATTTTCTCTTTTACTGCATAGGTGTTTTTAGCTTGTTTGGCTTTTTCCAATGTCTGTATTTGTCTTTTGATTTGCTTTCTCCAGATGATAATAGACTGTTTTCCTTGCACAGACTTCATATCATCTCTATAGGTTGTCTATGACTACCTAGAGATTTTGTAATTTGTGTCATTTTAATTTATTTTTGGAATAGGATCCTGATCATGGAAATTCCTTCCTCGAGCCAGCACTTTTCCAGTCACGGCTCATGGATGGTACATTCCATACTCATTTATCAATGAAAATAAGTGCCGAATGAGTCTAATCATCCTCCCTTTGCATATGATCTACTTATAGTTTTATCAAAAGTGTAAATATATAAGATATATCGAGTTATGCATATAGTAGTTTACTGCCTGCTTTGCAAGCTACGTTTCTGTTTCATTTTTCATAAAATAAACAGGCTGTGTTAGAAAATAATGTTCTTTACCTTGTCCATGATGTGATGCCTAACTTATGTTCTTCAATTGTAACATCATCATACAGAAAAATGCCTCTTCAAAACCACTGAAAACTCTTGGTCCAAGTAAAAGGACTGTCACAAATCTAAAGGAATCAGCTTCTTACCTATGAGAGGTGTGGCTACTAAGAGAATTTACTGGACAGTGACTGTGGGAGCAGTGCCAGCTTGTTTGCAACCTACATTATTAGCTAAACATTACAGTATGAAACTTTGCAATTACAGGGACCAACCTCTCTCTCTCTCTGTCTCACTGTCTGTCTCTTCTCCCCATTTTCTATCACAGTGGTAACTTTGATACTCCTGTCTGATTACTTTATGATATATCAACATGGGGGAAACATTTCCTGGAGTGTAAAAGCAAGCTCCATAAGCCTCAACAAAAAATAAAACTACAAATATGCATTTAATGAGAGATAAAAATCTGATGTCTATCTGCTGCTGGGCAGAATGGTCAGGTTGCCAAATTGCAGTCTTTTGGGATTCAAAGGCCACATATTTGAAACAATGAAAATCTTACATTTTCTGTTGCATTCTGTGAGGTTGGTCACCATAAGTAAAAATAAAGACAATAGTTTCAAGATTATACAAAGTGATGATACATTTTCCTTGTTTCTTTCTTCCTTCTTTCATTTAGCTACCAATATTCACCTTCACCTTCAATTCATGTATGTTAGTTACAAAAACTTCATTGCTTTCTTTTCATCCCTCCATGTTTACAAAAATAATTTACACACATGATAATCCACATACTAAAAACTAAAAATCTAAACTACTTGAAGATAACACAATGGAAATGATAGAAGCTTGGTACAAACAACCAGGAAAAAAGAAGAAAAAAAGAAAGAAAAAAGAAGAAAAAAAAAAAAGTACATACATGCATGTACACCTAAACCCTACCCATTTACCTATCTACCCACCCACACACACACACAGAATCCCGAGAACAGTGTGCTTTGGTTGGCACCCCTACAAATCATCATTATTAATCTTTTTAAATTAACAAATTGTTGAATCACCTTAACTGCAATATCCTATAATAATTTATCTATCTGAAATTTAATGAAACTATTCATAAGTACTAAATAAGTTAATCTCTATACGAATGGAAAGTATCACAGGAAAAGAAACAAAGCATTTATCTGAAAAGGAAACTGCTTAGTTTAAGATATGCAAACAGAAGCGAGGAGCCAGTCCGCAAAGTCTTCCATAATTCCCCAGAGCAGTGAAAGAGGTCCTTCCCTAAGGGCCTAATACCCCTCAACAGTCCTAGCCTGGCATGCTATTCCCAGAGCCACCTATGACACATGAGGCAATTCCTCATTCACTAACCCCATTATGTGTCTCTGCTTTCCACCATCTTGTCTCAGTGGACATCATATATGCATCTGTGTAAAAACAAACACACACACACACACACACACACACACACACACACACACACACACACACACACACACACACACACACACACACACACATCTCTCTCTCTCTCTCTTCTCTTCTCTCTCTACACACCCCACTCAAACACACACACACACACACACACACACACACACACACACACACACACACACACACACACACACACACACACACACACACACACACACACACACACACCACACAGAGAGAGAGAGAAGAGAGGAGAGAGAGTCGAGAGAGAGAGAGAGAGAGAGAGAGAGAGAGAGAGAAGAGAGAGAGAGAGAAGAGAGAGAGATGAGAGAGAGAGAGAGAGGAGAGAGAGAGAGAGAGAGAGACGAGAGAGAGAGGGGGGGGAGGAGGGAGGAGAGAGGGAGGAGGGAGGGAGGGAGGAGGGAGGAGAGAGGGAGAGAGTGAGAGAGTGAGAGAGTGAGAGAATAAGAGAGTAAGACACACACACAAACACACAAACACACAGACACACAAGCACAGAAACACACAGACACACAAACACTCACTCACTCACACACACTCACTAACTCTATCCTTGAGAACAGTGGTTCCTAAACCCATGGTTGGGACCCAAATGAGGGTCACTAGGGTTTTTTCTGAGGGTTGCCAAATGGTCTCTAGAAATAATAATAAGAGAATGCATAGCTGGATATATCAATAAAAGTTAATGTGGTTTATTAGCACTGTGTTGGTTATACAAACCTTTGAAAGTATAGAATAATGTAAGCTAATATACATCTGCAAGTATAACTACCATGAAAATGGTTGGATATATTAGTAGATGTTTATGCATTTAGGGTCGCTAGCCCAGGCTAAGACTGTCTTTAGGGTCACACCCATAAAAGGTTTGGGAAACACTGCTTTAGAAGTATAGGTTTCATAGGGCTTATACACACGCACATGTCCTTTGTGCATCTATATACTTGAATTATACTAAATTTCATGCTCTTAAAGCTGCTAATATTACTTCCATGTTACAGCCAATGAAATATTCTTAATATTCACATATAAGTGAGTCCAAATATTACAAATTATTTCAATTCAGAAAAGAGTGGAAAAGGGGGAAAAAAGATTAAAAGTAAAAATATACTATAAAAATCCTCCATGTATGTATCCTGTTTTCTTTCCATATTTCAAGGCCTCACTTTTAATCCTTACATCTGAGCCACCTTAATTCAGGTGCTAAGCTTTGCATCCTTCTCCTCCCATTCAATCCTCCACTCACATAAACATAGAAAAGGTATGAATGAGAATGAATATCTTCATAATACAAGAGATGTGTTTAACTAGTTTCAATTTGATCTTCGTCAGAAACTGAAATTGTATTGTCAAGATATTCATTCTCACTCATATTTTTTCTACATTTGTCAACATGAGTACAGTTCATTACAGAGATCACTATACCCTCCATTTTCCCCTATACCTTTCCCACTTCCGCTAGGATTCCCTCCTATGCCTTCAACAATAGGCTCCTTGCGACATTTTCGTATTTTCCACTATCTATTCAACCCACTGCCACTGTGAATGTAATATCAACTGTAGTTTCACCTTTTTTTGTTGTTGTTTAACATATATGTCCCCACAAGTGCTACATACATATTCATCTATGCTGACATTACTATTATTGATATTATGATTATCACATAATGTTAATAAGAATACTAATGCCGACAAAAATCAAGAGTATATTCCCAAAAATTAAGGATAACAGTAAACAAGTGAGATACGTAGGACTTGTGATTGACTCCTTGTGGACCCATCAACAAATAAAAACAATCAACAAACAAAACTCACATGCCATTCTCAGTTAGAAGGGGTTAATATATATACAAGTGTTTTGCAAATACATGTTATTACTTTGTAAGAAGTGATAAATATGTAGTTTGCATATTTTCCCCTCTCCTTTTCTTTTGTATACTTGGGCTAACTTTTCTGTTTTTGGTGCTCCTGTGTTGAGTAACTACTCTACATACTAGCACCATATATGCATTTTCTTTTATGCAAAACTGAGCCCTTCAAATAATAGAGCCCAAATTTGTCCTTGTGAAAATAAATAAATAAATAAACAAATAAATAAAACTGGGTTGATGGGCATCTAGTGCAGGCTGAGGATTTGCAATTTTCTGGTCTGTATCTATTGAATACAAAAAGAAAAGTTCCTTTGGATCTTAATTAAAAAAGTAAAAAAAAAAAAAAAAAAAGAAGCTAGTAACACCTTCCAAGCAGGTGTACTATACTGCATAAAAAAAAGTTTGAAGAGCAGAAGCTTACCTGCTTGCCCTGAGGATAACTGTTTTGCTTTTTCCTGGGCTCTCTTCAAGGCATCCTTAAACCAATCAGGATGATCTGCTTCATTTTTTACTGATTCAGGAATAGATGAGGTATTTTCCTGAAACAATTTCCAAAACACCTAATTAATATCCACCATCAAGAGGTCACAAACTTCTCTGTACATGTTACAAGAAATACATTGCCCTTATACTATAACGGATAACAATGAGACAGTTACTAAAGATATTAAAACAATAATGGCATGTTAAATAACACTGAAATCTATATCACAACAGATTTTCAAAATGTGCACAAGAACAAATAAAAGAGCTGCTACTTACTTCAATATCAAATTCAGTTTTAACCTTTACTGGCTCTGGACTGGGCGACAATGTACTTTTTTTCTCGGGAGAAAAAATGGCTGGATGGAACTGCTTAGGTGGGGGGACTTGGTTTAATGCTTTGGACTTTGTTGACAATGGTAAGGAACTTTTGAACTTCACAGACGAGTCTCCTTCCTCCTTAATTCCTACTGGAGGAAATTGCGATATAATTTTCTACATTCTCCAACATGATCAATTATGAACCACTAACAATAATGTTATAAAAATAAAATTTGTACAAATAAAAAGACAGAGGACAGGTTTTCCTCCAGATTCCTAGATATTCATAAACAAAGGTTCTGAGACACATGCAGCTCAAATATTTTACCTAAATAATATAATAAATAAAAGTAAATACTACAAACTCATGTATAATACATAACATCTAAGCAAGAAATGGTATTCTTTACCAAATACTTTCACACACCTCTAGTCCACTGCATTTACTGATAAAATACACTAATACACTATCCCACTCCTATGAGTAACTAGGGACTAACATCAGTAAGTTTATAAATCACCTTTCAAGCATAGGAGAATGCTACATACTGGAAAACACATGAAACTACATGATAATAATCAGAAATAATTGCAATCACTGCCAAAGCTACCTGTGAGGTGCTGCTCATCTGTCATATGTAAATTGTGGCTCACAACAACACAGAATAAAGCTAGCAAATATATAATATCTAAATTAATCATATAATATATTTGTGTTCTAAAAGACTGGAAGAACCTTCATTGCAAATCTAGAATACAGAGAAATAAATACCAAAACAAATCGGTCAATTTAAATATTTGTCTTCCTATATGACAACAAAAATACATAAAAATCAACCGTGGACAAGATCTTATTATTTAGCTTAACATTTTACCTGTCTGCTGCCCTGACATCTTTTTGAATTGCTCAAAAAAACTCCCATCATGCTGAACTTGTTTGGAACTGAGGAAGATCTGGGGACACTGAGAGAGAGAAAAAAAATGGAAATCAGAAAATGACTTTCATACGGGAGATATTTTTCACATTTTGCCTATTCAGATTCTTTATTTACGTAAATGTGGTTTTACTTCCATATGCCATTTAATTTTTATTTTATAAAGATGCATATATGAATTTCAGTCTTGTGGGTCATCCAGTTATCAAAGACCTTGATGATAGAAGGGGTGGGATGGATTTTACATGTACAAAGTATTGTGCTTTTCAATAATGAGATATAATGAACAATGTGAAGCAGGATGGAAGAAGCCTGTTCGATTGTTAGCGAAGACATCTAATGACCCCCCTTGGTTGGTGTCCTTCGGTAAAAGGGTCTATTTAACATGGAGTCACCATTATGATATATTTTTGAACTATAAATATTCTGTATATATATCTTCACTAGAGACTAAGAAGTGGGAAACAACAAAATCAATAAAGCAATTTTTTACTTTTGACATGTAGAACACATATTAGACAAACACACAGGAGAAATAGTGGAATCAAAAGATAAAATTTTGAAAAAAATGCAATATTCGAGTCCGTCACTGTTGCAATATGCGCAACCTTTGAATTTCAATTAAAGCACAACCAGTGAGGTCCCCCAAAATTTTTTAACTTCGCTGACATGTATGAACACTAGTCAATAATTCTATAATAATTTCCTCGGTATATGTAGTGCGGCCGCCTTAATTATTATTGGCCAGGATAATGTTACAGGAATGGTTTTAATTTCCCAAAGCCATATGGAGCAAAGGTCATTTCACGTCAACTAAAGGCTGTGTCACACTTGAACTTTTTCCGCATCACTTTTCCGCTGGCACCACGGAAATCATGGGCATTTTGGCACCTGCAGTCACAACAATAGAAACTGACCAACAAAATTTTTAAACACAGCAAGATGGCTCCAACCCCTACACAGGCTCCGGCGATAATGGACGCTATTCAGGCTTTGTGGCGGCAATTTAATGCGAAACAATTTTAAATAAGAGCGTATTCTTGCTGCTCTCATCTACTCAGCTGACAGAGGAATGTGGACAAAAATGTAAACAAACAGATGAGCAGCTAGTTACCAACTTGTATCTGTTTTATTAATTACAAGAGAGTTTTTGCAAATTCTAAAATATTCATTTACAATTTAGACAGTCTTTTTGAATTTATATTATAAATAGTTTTTTGCATTACTATATGATTATCTATTATAGCTTATGATTTGAACCAAAAGCCAAAAAAAATAATTATCGTTTGACTGGAAATTACCGCATTGGCCAATATGCTAGTGGTAGCAAGAAAAAAAAACAAAAAACGTCAAAGAACCACAGAAATATGCAGTGTGACACCCCCTCAAGAGTTCTGCAAACATCTAATAATACTTTGTTTATATAATGACTGCACTAAGATCGGAAACATCTAGTGACACATAGAGAGAGGAGAAAAATACATTCACTGATAATGAATAAACTGAGCACCCAAACAATGGTGTTCGAAATGAAGAAAATAGCAACGAGGAGAGCTAATTTCGCAGTAATCGTTGAGGTCTGGGGGAAGAGCCCCTGGTAGTGAAATAAGGGAACAGGTGGTATCTGGATCAAAGCCTCCAGGTTCGGAATGATTTCGGTTCATACGGCCAGGTTTAGGGATTCCCAAGTGCCCCAGGGTCTCTAAGGGGCAATGTCACTGCATAAACAATTACATATATATTACTTATTACCTCAACTTTTCATTAACAACGGACAACAACAGATAACACATTACAAAGGGGAACAAATATAATAACTGCAAGGTTGGATATCTGTGAAACAAACAGAAAACGTGTAAAACAGCTTTGACGTTGGTCTAGGGTAGGCCTTGCTGTAAGAGTGTAACAGGGCAGCTAATCTCCTGTGGGGGAACAGGGGGCGGGGTGCCTCGATCCCCTCCTGGCACCTGCTCGAGGCCAATTACCTCAGAGACGTGACCGAGGCTGAGGTCGTGGCAGGCGCTGGCACTTTGGGCAGCGGGGGCGTCCTGCTCGCCTTCGCCTCCGCCTGCTTCTGCTCCTTCATCTTCCTCTCGATCTCTCGCTTCCTCTTCAGCAGGATCTCCTCCTGCTTCGACATCTCCCGCATCCTGTCCTGCACCGGGTACTTATTCGACATGCTTTATGAATAAGGAAAGGCAGTGAAAACAAAAACAAAGTGCTACGTGACGGAGGTAAGGAAGGACATGCGGCGGGAGTAAACACTGCCAGTTGCCACTCGCCACTTGCCATGCGCAGTCGGCCGCCGTGCCATGTGCGCCACACGACCTCTGGGCGGCCTCGGCGGGGCTCGGGGTCTGTCCCCTCGCAATTAAATGAAAATATAGGTGGAGATGCGTTTCGAGCGAAATCTAAGTCAGCAGCGTGCCAATTAAGGCTTGGTGGCGGTTGCGATGGTAAACGTTATGCACAGCGGTCACGGTACACATTGTACGTGGCGCCATCTATTGAGGCCTAACCAACTAAATCTACAAACAGAAAAGACATCCGTAGTTTGCTCTAGTAGTGGTGAATGGCTTTATCATCCATTCATGCTGAGTGCGAGTTATTTTGGTTTATGCCGATACGGAATCGCACTCAAATGTTATTACGCACGAATGCATACATGCGCGCGCGCGCGCACACAACACACACACACACACACACACACACACACACACACACACACACACACACACACACACACACACACACACACACACACACACACACACACACACACACACACACACACACACACACACCACAACACACACACTCACACACACGCACCACACACACACGCACCTCACACTCTCTCTCTCTCTCTCTCACCCGGGGGACCCTTTCCTTGGTAAAGCCTACATCTTTCAGGGAGAGCCAAGGGCCACGCGACCCTTCTTCCGTGACACATATTCCGTTCTGCACCTGAATTCGGCGACGCTGGAGGGAGGGCACTGTTGGGCAGGCATCGCTAACGTTGGTGGCATGAACCAAGGGCGATTGGTCTTACAATGGCGAAGGGGCTGCTTTCCACGAAGAATGTGGAGATGAAGTGCGAAATGGCCTACAAAGA